TCTTTTTGCTGAGGAAGACTGGCCCGGGGCTAACATCCGTGCCCATCTTCCTGCACTTTATATGGGACGCTGCCACAGCATGGCTTGACAAGCCGAGCGCGCGCACTTAACCACTACACCACCAGGCCAGCCCCTTAAACTCATTTTTTGAAAATAAAAATATAATACTTCGTGACTAATGTACAAGGACTGATCAACATCGAGGAAGACTTACCAACATAATATCAACCAAACTCTATGTAATTTGTGAGCGGGGCTGAAAGCAATTAGCAAACACAGGCAGAAATCTACCTCTTCTTGTGAATGTCTCGTCCTGAAGTCTCTCTTTCAGAGATGACATTATAAACAAGTCTCTAATTAACTTGAACTTGAGTCTCAACCTTTAAATCATTATTAAACCAAGATTTTTTAAAAGTATGAAGCAATTTAAATTCCACTGCTTTCACTAAAAATAGCCTTGTTGATATTAATAGTTATTTATTAACAGTATTTTAGTGGGAGCAAAAAATATTTTTGTAGCATTGAGAGATAAAACAAAAAAATTTCTTTTTTGTGAGGAAGATCAGCCCTGAGCTAACATCCACGCCAATCCTCCTCTTTTTGCTGAGGAAGACCAGCCCTGAGCTAACATCTATTGCCAATCTTCCTCCTTTTTTCCCCTTTTTCTGCCCAAAGCCCCAGTAGATAGTTGTATGTTGTAGTTGCACCTTCTGCTAGTTGCTGTATGTGGGGCGCCGCCTCAGCATGGCCGGAGAAGCGGTGCATTGGTGCACGCCCAGGATCCAAGCCCGGGCCGCCAGTAGCGGAGCATGCGCACTTAACTGCTAAGCCACAGGACCAGCCCCAACAAAATTATTTTAAAATATTATTTATTTCATTTTTGCCTTTTAAAAATCTTTGTTTTACAATTTATGTGATATATTAGCACAATAATACACATATACAATTTACAAATAAATGATTATATATTAGAGCCACCTGCCCAAAATATTTTTACTGATAAAGGTGGATAATAAAAAAAAGCGTAAAGGCCATTGTTCTAGACCAGTTTTTCTCAATGTATGGTTTGAGAAGTATCTATGTCAGCATCACCATAGGGCTTAAGCCCAGAAAACCCGACTTTGAGTTTGTCTAGTCAGGATCTGGAAGCTACATTTTTTTTTTTTTTTTCACTCTACAAATGAGCCTGGAAGCTCTATCATTTATTATCAATTTGTGGGTTCAGACATTGGAAAATTGACATTGAACTACTTAGAATCAGCAGACTAAAGTTGTCTTTCCTTGTTAGTAAGTGAAACGAAGAATTATTTATTAAGTTTGAAACTTTGTCAATAATTCTAAAAATAAATTCCCATTCAGGCTTCTCATTTTTCCACATTAATAGTGGACAAAGCATTTTTTTTTTTTTTTGGTGAGGAAGATTGGCCCTGAGCTAACATCTGTGCCACTCTTCCTCTAATTTGTATGTGGGACTCCACCACAGCATGGCTTGATGAGCGGTGTGTAGGTCGGCACCTGGGATCCAACACCGCAAACCCCGGGCCACTGAAGCAGAGCACATAAATTTAAGCACTATGCCACCAGGCTGGCCCCCACAAAGAATTTTTTTTTTAATTTTTTGTTTATTGCTGTAACATTGGTATAACATTGGTTTATAGCATTGTATAAATTTCAGGTGTACATCATTATACTTCTATTTCTACATAGATTACATCATGTTCACCACCCAAATACTAATTACAACCCATCACCACACACATGTGCCTAATTATCCCTTTTGCCCTCCTCCCTCCCCCCTTCCCCTCTGGTAACCACCAGTCCAATCTCTGTCTCTATGTGTTTGTTTCTTGTTGTTATTATCTACTACTTAATGAATGAGATCATATGGTATTTGATCTTCTCCCTCTGACTTATTTCACTTTGCATAATACCTCAAAGTCCATCCATGTTGTCACAAATGGCTGGATTTCATCGTTTCTTATGGCTGAGTAGTATTCCATTGTGTATATATACCACACCTTCTTTATCCATTCATCCCTTGATGGGCACTTAGGTTGCTGGAAGCTACATTTTTAACAGGTACCCTGGCTTAAGGTGGTTCATAGGTTACATGTTGAAAAACACGGCACCAAAGGAAATAAACAGCGTTCTGTGGAGACCACAAGTGCCTGTGAACAAGGCATTTAAGTGGCAGCCGTATACCATAGGCAGTGCCCATAATCAGCCGTCTCCTTGTTAATCTTGAGGGAAAGAATTTGCAAAACTGACTTCGCCCAACTGATCTTCACCCTCAGTGAAGATGTTATTTCCTAACGGATGACTCGGTAATAATGGCCCCTATTAAAAATGGATGTTGCCCTGGAAGGGCTTTAAAAACGACCTGCTTTCTGCAACTCCAGGTGTTGTGGTATGTGTTCATCACTGGAGGATCATCAGAGGATAAACTCACCGAAAGGCTTCAGTAAGTGTGATTTCATTCTGATTCATCAGGGGGCCCAAGTTTAATACATTCTTTAAAATAAGTAAGTAAATAAATAAATAACATTTTAAAAACATTCCCAACACCAGTACCACTTTTAGACCCAGGCAAAGAGCCACTGCCCTGAACCCTTCTTTCAAAGGACCTACATCACACACACACACACACACACACACACACACACACAGACACAAACGAAGAGGTAAATGTATTAAAGAACACAAGGTACCTCTGTCATTGGGGTATAGCACTGAACAGGACACAGTGCAACTTTAAACCCAAACATCCGCTCCTTTGACTAACATCATTCAGCGCCCGTGGAAATGATTCTACACATCATTTGCCGTTATGTCCTCAAAGTAAAAGGAGACCACATCCAAATGCTGTAAAGGTTTGCGATGTGCTGCTAAGAGCACTAGAGGTGAACACTGCTTCCAAGAGAGGGGAGAAAAGACAGATTAATGAACTCTGCAGATCTCGTGAATGCGATATAGCCTTCCCTCATGCAGTACTGTTTCCTAGAAGTGCCTGGCATCATGTTCTTGCTCCTCCAATACGTGGTTCTGCAGGTACCCGATATTTAGGGAATCTTTGCCATAGTTGCACCTGGCAGCAAAAGAACATTTTGCAATATTAAACAATTCACATCACTCCTAAATTGGTGTGTAGATCTAGACAAATCATTCACGAGATCTAATACAAATACTTTACTTTAATAACCAGCTGTGTATTGAACACTAGCATTGCAAATAATTTCATTTATATAAAATATTTTAATTGTCAAAAAAATTAAATAAAATTTCAGCTCATCTAAAATCTTATATTAATTATAATTTTTCTTTTTCTATTTTAACTTTATAATTTGAGTATTTTAGAATAAAAATAGCACTTCATAAATAATATATTAAAATAAATTTAAATTTTTCTATATTTTAAGGTACTTATTTTTTTTTGGTAAGGAAGATTGTCCCTGAGCTAACAGCTGTGCCAATCTTCCTCTATTTTGTATGTGGGATGCTGCCACAGGATGGCTTGATCAATAGTGCATATGTCCAAGCCCTGGATCTGAAACCGCGAACCCCGGGCCACCGAAGAAGAGCATATGTACGAACTTAACCACTACACCACCAGGCTGGCCCCTAATGTACATTCTTGATGAAAATATATTCAAATTTTGGACACTTTTAGTAGGATTACATTTTATTTATAATCCTTCAGAACACACATTATGAGAGAATGTTGATTATAATAACACAATTAGTGATTTTCATTGAAATGAAGACAAGAAAAATAAATTTAATAAAATAAATACATAATAAATTATGAATTATGTCTCTTTCATTTTCTTACTCATCTAAACTGTGACAGCCCAACAACAAAACATCCAGACATGTGCAATAACAATTAAACTAACTCGTCGTTGATATTTTCCCAACGAAAGTCATAACTTCACACAGTTTTCAATTTTTCATTATGATGGTATATTTGTCAAGGTAGAAGGATGGGACATATTTTATTTAATAGTGTTTTAGATGATTTATAACTTTAAAATATTAGACAAATGGTATGTGGGCGCTCATTGTACTCTTGCCTTGGGCTACGCAAATGTTAGAGGCAGGCCTGACAACTGTAACAAACAAAAACAAAGCAAAACAGACACAAAACAGCAAGAAGAGGATCATAAAGTTGTAGCCTTATCATCTCCTTAGGCTTCTTAATCAAAGCTACTGGTTTTCACCCCACTCAAGATATGCCACTTACAATCATGCTGCGTCTACTTCTACAATAAAGCAACACTTCTGGATTGTTGGTGCTATTCCAAAGCATGTTGTTTTTCATTGCTAAACTACTTCATTGCCCAGTGGGAAGGATGTTCTCCAGGTTTTAGAGAACCTGCAGAAGATTCAGCAGCCATTGGCTTTTGCATGTGAGTTCATACATGAAGATTAACGTGAAGTATAACCTTCTTACCACGATGTCAAAGCTGTGCAAAGTCATCGTATTCCAGGTGACGCTGAAATTCCACTTGCTTCCCCCCAAGAAAAATGTTACACACAGAAGGAAAAATGATCACATTGGCATTGAATTTCCTGCTGTTAAGTGAGGAGCCAAAAGGTGTGCAACTACATATTTAGCTAAGCCTACAATTATGCAGGCAAGTGTTTAAAGTTCTTTCTCTCTATCCTTATTTTGTACCTTCTGTCAACCTTTAAAATAAAATAGCTAGTTATTTTACCAGCAAAACAAATTTATTCGGGAATAGCCAAAGAATTGCAATTCAGGATGTGTACGCTATGGCTGACCATAGGCAAATCCAACAAACAAGGTAAAGGAACAGTATTTTATAGAGAAAAAAGAGGAAATAGGGAAGGGTTGTTTTGAACAAAAGTCCATTGGAGAAAAGCAAGAGTTCAGGGTGCTGATGGCTTCTCATTGGCTAAGTTGCTGGGGTAGTCAATTTCTGTTTGGGATGCAATGTCCATTTCTTCCTGTAATCCACGATTCTTTCCTGTTGATGACTTCTGTTGGGGTCTGTAATTGACTATCTTTCCTGTCAGTGACCTTGAGTGGTACAGTGTGAGAGCTCCCACCTTCTGGCATCCTGACTCCATTTTAAATGAGGTTTCCCTTTATTAATTTTCACATTTTCTCCTTTTGATCAAGATCTCTCTCCAAAGACATCACTGATCAAGAGTCAGCTTCTCTGCGTGAAGTGGTTTTGTCCCTTGATGCCAAGAAGGACCCTTCCTGGTTGCCATGTCCCTCACTGGAGGGAAAGTGCACTGTGGTTGGAAAACCATTTAGACCACATTTGAGTAACAAGGAGGGTTAGGAGGGAGAACTCTCAGGCATCCCTTATTCAAAGTCTATAGTTGTCCGAGGTCATAAGCATCAGAAATCATCTCAAATTGTTGAGCTAACATCACTTTATTAGATAAGTCATGTTTACAAAGGTTTGACAGGCAATAGGCACAGAGTTCAACAACAAGTACACAAAGCAGGATTAAGAACAATACAACAAGCCCAGTTTGTATGATAGTCCTAAACCAGGAACCCAGACTTGAGGGTAACCAGCTGAATAAATCAAAAGCGAGTGGGTTATTGGGTGAAATTTGTTGCAGCCAATGTGCTTGCTCTCTAATTCTATGTAATTGGGTCTCTACTTCCCCAGAGGTGTTTATCCATGTGTAACAGGAGATGATTGTTACTGCACAGACAAATCCCTGCTCAGCAAGTAGGGAATCAAGAGCCATACAGTTGTATAAAACTACTCTGGCTCATGAGTTAAGTGACTATTGTTGGGTTGCAACTGCTTTAGCTGTGGAATTGGCTAACTCTTCTAGTGTTAGGGAGAGATTCCTGATCGTTTGTCCATTGACACTTACTCCAATCCATGAAAAGAACGCTCTGCCACGGAGGCAAACCCAGCATCACATATGCCTCTGGAAGCTCTTGTCTGAGGCGATTACAGGAAGTTAGTGGAAGTGACCAAAGAGAGGCTTCTGATTGGTTATGCAGGGAGAAGAGTGGTATATGGCAAGGGCACAGTGTCCTCGTGCTCACCAGCTGTCAAAGCAATGAGATGCGCAAGCATGAAGGCTATTGTTGGAGCCTCCACATATGATAATGTAACTAGGGGTGTACACAAAGCTCCTGCATAAGTATCAATATTTATGAACTCATTCACTGGCATAGAGGCATTAGTACCATTTAACCAAGGCTCACACATTGTGTTGTTACATATTGAGAGGTTGCCTAAATTAATGGGTATATCAACGAGAGCACAAATGATCTGATATACATTAGCCATCCTATAGAATTTATCATACATATATTCATAAAATCTTATCTTTCCCTCCCAAGGTTGGGTTAAATTAAAGCAAGGAACAAAATTAGGTGGGCTTAGTACCCTCACTTTATAAAATGGGCCTGCAGAACAATTTAAACATACAATGGCATCGGAATGCCAGTGAAATTATGTATAGGGTAAACTAAGGAGTCATTATTGTCCTGAACAGATTGAGGTTTCTGTTGGCAAATCCAGCAATCAGAGAGATTTCCTCCTTTTGAGAGGATTGGGAAATACAGACAAGGGCATTATCCTTCCATAGAAGGGAGGGAGGAAACAAAGTGAGAGATAGCAGTGAAAGAAAAGTACACAGGCCTGGTCAGAACATCTTGGGAAAGCTGTCTGCCTCAGACGCTGGCTGCTTCTCCTCCTAGTCAATTTGATTTGAGGTCTCCAGCGTTTGTACAGAACTGGATGTCAGGTAGAGCCTTCTTCAGCTGTGAGATATGTACCCAACGCTCAAGTCCCTGAAGTTTGGCTGCCCTCTGGGTAGTGAGGAGAGCCTAGTATATTCTCTTCCAAAAATATCTCAAGGGCAGTAAAAGTGGAAAATATTAGTTTGGAATATCATAGCCAGACATTTAAGGAAACTAGAAGAATTTAGAATCCAGTCTAGCTTACGGTATATAAAAAAACCTTAAAGACAATTAATAGGACTAGAGTTTAATATCTACAAAGGTGAAAATATAATTTTGCTCTCCACAATAAGCCCCATTTTTATTAAAGATAATCATAGTAAAACTAATTTGTTTGTATTAAACTTGGCCTGATTATTTAAATAAATTTTTCCAAGCAATTCCTTAAAGCTATCTGGTTATTTTGAGTCTATGTACGTCTTTCTTGAATATGACACTCCCGTCAAAGCTTTGGTAATGTAGCCAATATTTCCCATTGTGTCCTGTTACAAGGAGAACAGACCTTCACTGAACCCATGCAAATACACGTGTTGTCATGAAAAGAATACTTAAGAGTTTCTGAATTCTGGAGGGATCAGGTAGAGAGAAAAAGATAAATATTTCAACTCTTGTTGCAAAGATACACTTTACCACATTGCTGTCAGTCAAAGATAGCATAAAGGGGAGGAGAAAAAGGGGTCCTTTACATCTGGAAAACAAAACATTAAAGCAATCAGTCCTCCATTCGAGTTCCAGAAATTCCCACTCAGTTCAGTGTTACAATCTTAAAGTTATCACAACCTGTATTCCAGAGTACTTGTTCAAGTCTTTTCCATGAATCTCTTTGAAAATGAACTGGGGCCGGCCCCGTGGCGTAGAGGTTAAGTGCTCGTGCTCCACTGCTGGTGGCCCGGGTTCGGATCCCAGGCGCGCACTGATGCACTGCTTGTCAGGCCATGCTGTGGCAGCATCCCATATAAAGTGGAGGAAGATGGGCACAGATGTTAGCCCAGGGCCAGTCTTCCTTGGCAAAAAGAGGAGGATTGGCATGGATGTTAGCTCAGGGCTGATCTTCCTCACAAAAAAAAAAAAGAAAAAGAAAATGAACCATATTTGTAAAAGCATCAGAGTAAAACAATAACTGTCTGTAACTGACAAAAGACTTTAAAAAAAGGCAATGGGCACATGCAATCAACAAGGAAATTTGGGTATTTTTGTAACATACATTTTAGATAGCAACTAGAATTGCAGGTAATAACATTATGTTAGGACATATCAGATGTTTGGGAATTTTATACAATTTATAGAACACTTTTTAGTAACATTCACCCATACAATATAATCTGAAAAGGTTTATTAGTACTTATTCAACCATGCTTCTCATGTAATTTGACATACCAAAGAAGCCTAATTAGTGTAATCTCTCTCTTTTTACAAGGAGAGGAAACAAATCTTTTGAGATGTCCCAAGTGCCCTCTGGAAAATTGAAAAGTTACATCCAGGTTGAAAAGAATTCCTTTATAATTTGAATATTTTGGGAAGCTTGTCTAAAATATCAAAACGTTTGGACACTTTACCAATTAGGATCACAGATCATTATGAAATAATACTTAAGTATCTATTTGACCAAAGTAAAAACAAAAGGTTTAAAGGCAAATATAAAAGGTAACATGGTTGTAAGCAAAACTTAACTCCTTTAATACTAAGAAGACTCAGTTCTCTTAAGTAATTAAGAGCTTCATAGAAACAATACAAGAAATTATTTTGATAAAATACAAAAATCTCTGTTTTCTAGGTATATTACTTAAAGGTAAAGAAGCTTTCACAATCTATTATTGAAAGCAGACCAATAGCCCATGAAAACCTGTCCTTTCAACAGAAAAGAAAGCCAAATTTTAATTTTGCATCAGCTTATTTTGGTATTAACCAGCCTCTCCTTAGGACGAAGCTACTTTCTTTTCTCTCAACAAAATGCATTTCCATTCCTCATATCTTCTTTTATCGAATCACACATCCTACTTTCCTAGCATGCAGAGATGTTTCTCTTGTTATTACATATGTTGATTAGAATTCTTAACGCCTAAAATCCTTAATTCCTAGTGAAAAACTAAGAAGTAAGCAATTGTGAACTATATTAGCATTTTGCAACTTGGCAAACCTATAAGTACCTTTTATAAATTTCTAGAAAGATGTGCCTTTTTTCCACAGAAAATTTCTCAGTGTGGCATAAAACGTGTTCCTAATAGACTCAACTATCTTTAGTTTCTCTGCAATAGAAAGTCAAAAGTAGATAACCCTGTGTTCAATAATTAATGTTCATCTTATTTGGAAATGATTTAGATAGTCAATGACCATCCGTTATTTAGTTTAACTTAGTATAAACTTTGATCTTATTTACATTTATTTAAATTACCTGCTTTTAACAATCATGCTTGGATTTGACATTAAATAGCCAATCATCATCTTAAATTACTTTCTTGCTGACAAATTGTGTAATAGAGATATCAGGAGCTTAATAAACTCAGGTAGAATGAAAGTTATATGTCTACATTATATTCAGCATTGATAACTCTAACGATGTGCCTGCTTCAATTAAACCAACAACCTTAAGCTAGCTTTTATTTACTAAAGATTAATCCTAGATCATGTAAACTTGAAAACATTTGGGTTAGTTTCTGTTATATGTCCGAGGTTTAGGAATACTTAATCTATAAGTGCTTAATTTCAAGCCAATTAAATAGAGGTATTTTACAAATCAATCTTAGCAATACCATCTGAAGGTAGAAAAATATCTCATACATAAATAGACATACATAACATAGACAGAGAGACCTTGTAGCTTTTGTTTTAAAAATTTCAGCCATGTCTTAGGTACAAAGTTCTAAGGAATAGTTGAATTCAAATTGTGTTTCTGGCAGATGTACTAAGCTAAGGTTACTTGCTCAGATGGCCAAAGTTTTAGCACTAGAGGTGATGCAGAAAAGGAGAAAGATGGCACTGGAGGTGGGGGCCTGAGCATAAGGCAGAGAAAAGGGGGGGAAAAGAGAGACCTCAGAAGCCATTTTGTCTTCCCTCAGGTTTTTAGTTGTTTCAGCTAATTTAGATACGGTATCTTGTCATGAGGTGATTTTAGAGTTTTGTGCACATTTATAAGCCTCCAGATACCATTTAAAATAAACATACCATTTGTTTTGCTTAATTTTAGAGCTGTAGTCTTCCAATTTGATTTTAAGAAAAATGAATTTGAGGAGATTGAAAATTCCCCATAATGGCCATTGTAATTCTGGACTACTCTTGGTTAGTTTGGTGCACTTAGTTAAAAATGTGCATGTAGGGTGCCCAAAGTTCTCAAACATAAACCCGGCTGGGGTCTCTGAAGGAGGTTCTCCATCCAGAACATTCAGATGACTGGGATCCCATTTCTGAAATTTCCTCTGAAAACTCAAGAAAGTCGCTAGATTCCTAGACCTGATCCCCGAAGAAATCTAAAAACAAAAGAAAGTTGCTGGATTCCTAACCTTGATTCCAAAAGGAATCTGAAAAACCAAAGAAAACTGGATTTTCAGCAAGCCTGAGCCCCAAAAGGAATTGTGCTACCTTTAGAAAACAACCAAGTACTCACCAAGGACAATGCCTTGAACCCAAAGACAAAGCCTTGAACCAGGAGGAGAAAGTCCCTCCTCCACGAGGACAAAGGCTCTCCCAATCTGGAACAAAGTTGGAGAGCTCAGAATGCAAAGGGAGTGGTGCTCAAAATCTGAGAGGAGACTCACCAAACTGAAAGTAGGCAGTGACTCACAAAAGTGATGAGCATGAGGGGCTTGGTGTGGGAACCTCACTTGGTTCCAAGAGATGTTGTTTCTCAGGAGTTGTCTCCTTTGGATCCCACTTCTGACACCATATATGTCAATCTTAAAAATAAAACAGCTAGTTATTTTACCAGCAAAACGAGTTTGTTCAGGAATAGCCGAAGAATTACAATTTGGGATGTGCATGCTAAGGCAGACCACAGGCAAATCCAACAAAGAAGGGAGAGGAACATTAGAAAAAAGAGGAAATAGGGAGGGATTGTTTTGAATGAAAACATACTGGAGAAAAGCAAGAGTTCAGGGTGGTGATGGCTTCTCACTGGCTGAGTTGCTGGGGTAGTTGATCTTGTGTGGGATGCAACGTACATTTCTTTCTGTAATTGAATATCTTTCCTGTTGATGACTTCTGTTGGGGTCTGTAATTGACTATCTTTCGTGTAATTGACCTTGAGTGTTACTGTGTGGGAGCTCCCCCTTCTGGCCTCCTGACTCCATTTTAAATGAGGTTTCCCTTTATTAATTTTCATGCTTCAAAGAGCCAACATTTTTGATTCAGCACACAAGCTCTGGCACCTGCCTGACTTGGTTCAAATCCTGGCTCCACCAGTTATCAACTTGTGACTTAGGGCAATTCTATGCCTAGGTGTCCTCTCTACAAAATGGGTACTAATGGGTACTTACCTCAAAGTGTGCTGTGAGAATTATATGGGTTAAGTGCCTAGAATAGTGCATGGACATGTAGCAAGGGCTGTGTGCATATTTTGCAAATTTTAAAAATATCCCTAATTATGTCCTCATTTTTAAGAGCAATATCAGGACATATGTCTTGAGCTGACTGCTACTGCAGGTCCAAGAAAAAAACTGCGACATTTGGACATTATAAGGCTCCCTTTATCCTAGACTTTGGGCTATTTAAATTGCACAATTAATTTGCATAGTACCATTTTCCTTTTCTCTTTCTTGCAGCCCAAACCCCCTTCTTATCAGGATTTGTGGAAGCCTACAACATCAAAGCACACTTCACAAAGATCAATGACTATCAAAACAAAAAGATGGCTAGTTACTTAGGATCGCTGTGTAGTCCTAGGTGCAGGCCTCACCACTCCCTCCCCACAGCTGCCTGCCTGCGGCTCTGTGGCCCAGATACTTGGGCAAGGATTAGTCATCTCATGCTGGGAGAGGTGGGGGCTTCTTTGAGTAAGCCTCAAGAATTACTTCACCGCCACACATGACAAATTTATTCACAACAACTCCTCTCCTCCAATCCCCTTCTCCCTTCAACACTTTTCCAAAAGAATGCAAAAGTGGAGGGCCTGAGGCGGGTTTGAGGAAGGACTGGACAAAGGGAGGAGGAAAGAAAGATCATGCGTTAACCTCAGCGTGTTTACTCTTACCGTATTTTTTTTTTCAACAGAAGCCCTAAAAATCTCCTTTGAAACCCAGAGGTTTTTGCCATAAAACTTGAAAAAGTCTGATGTAAGAGATGAAAATGCTGTTTTTCAATCAGGCTCACATTTCTGAAATAATGATCTCTTTTTGCATGTTTTCAGGAAGGATGTTGGTAATATGGTTACAAAATTTTTAGCAGACACATAAAATGGCTCTTCTATCGTCTTCAAGCTCCCTCATGCATTTCTACAGATGATTTACAGATTTACTGGATTCAAGCAATCTTTATATCAGACACTCAAAAACTTTTTAGATGAAGTGTTTTTGTTTCCCCGTACTTTCTTAACAGGTTTGTAAGCTAAACAAGGATCATGTCTTTTAAATCAAATTCAATGTAGTTCCTGGCACAGGATTTTGCATGCAGGTGCCCCATAAATATTTATTGTTGATTATTAAAAAACAAGACAATGAAAAAATATTCAAATTGTGTGGAGGTTTTCTTTTTTTGGTGTCAGGGAGGGAGTAAGCCAGAAAATAGTAATCCTTAGAAATTGATCATCATTTTCCATGACTATAAAAAACATAAGCATCAAAACTTCAAACACCAATACTGTGCCTAAAAGTATAACATTACTTTAAAAAAAAAAAAAGGTGGTTAAAATAAAAAAAAAGAACATATCATCAAAAGATATTGTAAAAATAATTGGGCTGATTCTCTGAACATATGCAACCCAATCTCAGAAGGAGAGGGAGAAAGCACTTTTCATTCCTTCTCCTTTCCAGTTCATCCTGGTTCTGGCAGCCTCTAGCCATCTAAAAAGCACTTTTCTTAAGCCCACCCTTGGTAACCGAGATCATCTTTGTACAGGTGTGCATTACATAGGGTACAGGCTTCCTTTACCCAGGAAACCACAGTGTCTCAAAGAAGGGGAAGTTTATTTGTCTCCCACAACAGTCCCGACCTGAGTAGCTATGTCGGGAGCCAGCAAACACAGCCTCGGGCTGAATCTAGCCTGCTGTTTCTGTTTCTGAGGCAAGAATAGTTTTTCATTTTTTCTTTTGTGAGGAAGATCAGTCCTGAGCTAACGTCCATTGCCATTCTCCCTCTTTTTGCTGAGGAAGATTAGCCCTGAGCTAACATCTGTGCCCATCTTCCTCTATTTTGCATATGGGACTCTGCCACAGCATGGCTTGATGAGCGGTGTGTAGGTCCACGCCTGGGATCTGAACCTGCAAACCCTGGGCCAGTGAAGCGGAGTGTGTGAACTTAACCACTATGCTACAGGGCCAGCCCTGGCAAGAGCAGTTTTTATATCGCTAAATGGCTTAAAAAATCAGAGGAAGGATAATATTTTGTGGCATATGAAAATTATATAAAATTCAATCTTCAGTGTCCATTAAATAAAGTTTTATTGAAACAAAGCAACACTCATTCATTGATCATTCATAGTCAAGTCATTATCTATGGCTTTTGCACTATGATAGCAGAGTTGAATAACTGCAACAGAGACCATATGCCCCACAAAGCCTAAGACATATACTATCTGGCCCTTTACAGAAAAAGTTTGCTGAGCCCAGGTCAGGGAGCTCTCAGTCTTGTGGGCCATTCACAGCCCCAGTTTCCTGGCATCTTGTGGCTCTGCTATTCTTTAGGCTGATATCTGATCAGTCGATGTGGGCCACTGCCATGTCCCTGTTCCAGCCCTTGGTAACAGGCAAGAGTTAAAGACGAGGGCAGGCAATTTCTTTTTAAGGGTGTTAAGCAGAAGTTGCACACGTCACTTTTTCTCACCTGCGTTCTTTGGGTGAACTTAGTTAAATATCGTACACAGAGACAAAGCAGGGAGGACGGATTTGGGGGAGTGGGTCAACCAAAAGCTTGACACAGCATGAAGTACACAGCGTAAATCTTAAAAGTCTATTGAATACCTGAAGTCCGTTAGGTTCCAAATACAGAGAGTCATACTAGCCTATGGTCAAAAAGCTTCACTATATTTGTTAAAATCGCCACAATTTGGTGGGAAGGCAAATTGATTTTTCAAGCTAGAACAATCCTCTACAAGAACTTGTAGTATTTCAATGCAGATTTTAAGGATGAAAAGTTCTCTAGGCTCCCCTCAGGATCCCAGTATACAGTGTATTTTCATGCATGTGATGTAGTAGAGACTTGGTAATTGTTGGAAGTTACTGAAAATACTTTGGTATCAAGGGAAAAGATGGGGTGTTGAGGGTCCAGGGTTATTTCAGGGCCTGTCTCAAGTTCTATGAAGTAGAACAAGACATTAACCCACCGGGATCTCAGCTCTATTGACTGCTTATTATTTGTATTTTCTACACTTATATATAATGTATTTCTAGAAATTGTAGTGACAAATATTTGCATTTTTGACCCAAGTGAATTTGACTAATATACAATCATATCGAAGGTTCTCACCTTGACCAGATGCTTTGTGAAAAAAATTAATTCACATTCCACAAAGAATTGAGCAAAAAGAGAGATGCATTTCACTTTTTCAAATCATGGGTGCAGGGACTCATCACTTTTATAAAAAATCTCATATTGCTCATGGTCAGTTATCACTGCGTTATGTGATGTGTTTGAAAAGCTCTATGCAGCCATCTGCCACTCTGGAGAATATGGCTGCCTAAAACTACTCTCCTGCTTTTGAGCAGGACCACGACAATAAACGGCAACCCCATCCTAGGACAGTATTGAGTTAGCCATCTAAATTAGAACCATAACCAAGTATTTTGATACTTGACATGTGCTGAAATTAGAAACAGAATAACATTGAAAGTCTTCGGGGTGCAAGATGGTTTTAAAAATTTGAAGATTCAATTTACTACCATCTATTGGGTGTTTTGCAACATCTTTCAAAGCTTTGTTAGACCAATCCACACATGGAAAGGAATTCACCAGGTATATGAGAAAAGTTATTTCAAATCAGTGGGAGAAAACTCTTTAATAAATACCATACGAATAATTGGCCATTCAATTGGAGAAGAAAAATATCAAATTAGATTTTTACCTAACAACATATACAAATTAATTTCAGAAGGATTTAAGAGCCAAAAGAAAGAAAAGAATTTTTTAAAGTATTAGAAGAAAATATAGAAAAAGCCTTTGTAAGGAAGACACAAAGCCCAGAATCGATAAAGAAAAAGACAGACCTATTGACCTATATTCATGTTTAAACTTTCTGTAAGACAAAAGTCAAAACAGGTAAAAGGCAGACTTCAGGCCAGGTAACATATTTGCAATATATAAAGCATAAATATCACGGAAAAAACAACTATAAAGAACCTTTATAAATTACTAAGGCATCTAAAAAGGATGTAAGCAATGGATATAAACAAATTTCTTCAACTAAGAAATACAAATGGCTTATAAAGAAACGAAAAGGTTCTCAAACAATGAGACATGATTTTACTCATCATACAGGCAAACATTATGAAGACCGAACGCGTGCAATGCTGCCTAGCATGTGAGGAAGTGGGACTTTCATGTGTTAGTGGGGGTGTAGGTTGGAGGGAAATTGGGAAGTATCTATCAAAATTTAGAAATGTTTCCTTTAACCCAGCAATTCTACTTATGTGTAGCTCTTCCTAGAGAAATACACATGTGCAGAAAGAATCATATATAAGGGCGTTTAATGTTTATAACAGCGAAAAGTGGAAAGATGGAAATGTTCATAGGCGAATAGCTAAATAGATTGTGGAACATTATGTAACAGTTAAAAAGAAGGAGTTACATTTACAGGTACTAATATGAAAGTTCTCTATGAAATCATTGAGTGAAAAAGCAAAGTTTTAGTTTAATGCTCTGTGTATGTGTGTGTGTGTGCGTGCATGTGCATACACATATAAAGGATGGTCTCATTTATTTAAAATACTCATAAAACAAAACCATAATGTTTCATTTGTACTTGTGTATGTGAATAGAAAAAGGTTGAAAGGATGCACTCAAACCAGCAGTGGCCACCTCTTGATGGTTGCCTCTGAGGAATGTGATTGGGGGAGAGGGCTAAACAGGAACTTTCACTTGTACTCTGTTCTTTGATCATTTGAGAGTGAATTTATGGAGAAGACCCTCTCTAAGAGAAAGGATTATTTATTAGGTATTATTTATGCAGTTAAAGTTAAATTATAAACAAAGCAAAAATGCCTTGTGAGAAATTCTCTACTAGTTCGCTCACAAAGTTTCTGCAGCTGTGTCTTTCACCATCCCTAATGCTGTTCCACTTATGTATTCCGGTACGTATCTCTGCAAGTCAAACTGGCCAAGTGTGAGGTGAACCTGCTATTTGTTCTTAAACTTACTATTTTATACTGTTTGTATGGGAAGCGACAGGCATTCCCTAGCTTTATAATTTATTTCATTCCCTATAAGTAATAACTGGAAAAGAGAGTTTAAAGGCAATCATTATTTTCAAAAACTTTGACCAATATTTGTTCTGAAACTTCAGGTTCTTTGGTAAAATATCAAAATGTTAAAAATGAAGGCTTCTTTTTTTCTTTATTAGAAAGTAAAAATTACTTGTATTTATAACTACACTCTGAGTCCAATAGGATGGATTAAGATTTCTGCCAAATCTTACTTAAAATTTTTCTACCTTTAGCAATAGCAATATGTTACTTTCACATTTAAAAAAAATCTTAATAACAGTGTAAGGCAAGTGTGTGGAAAACTTAATATCTTTGTTTTACACTTTAGTAAATTTAAGCTACACCAACATCAAATTAACCAGAATTAAGATTAGGGCTCAAGTCTTCTGACTTCTGGTCTATGTTTTTTCATTTTTTCTTACATATGGCCATCTCCCACAAACTCCACACACTTTCTGAAATCTTCTGATAGTGCTTTCTAAAACTGAAAGCTTTGCTTCTGAGAATTACAGTACAGGTTTTCATAGACTGAGATTGGAATACAGCATAAGAAGCTGGGTAAATTTCATTTTAGAAAAAGGTGAAATTTAATAAAATGATAAATGTATCCGAACTGTGGATTAAAATGAAGATGAAATTTCACTCTTGCATAGAGGAAGAAACTTGCAAAAATAAAGTTTTGGTCTACCAAAAAACACACGTTCATTTGTATATTAGAGAGGGATTCTCCACACTACTTCATTTAAAAATGAACCCTCCATTACTCTTTCATTTTAAGTGGATTCTAATTACTAAACTATAGTCTAAAAAATTACCATATATTAATTTTTCAGTGACTTAGCTTGAGACTATGGTGTATATTTTTCCTATACCAAATAAATAACATTTTTCAGAAAGATTTTCCACTGTATATTTTATATCAGATTTTTAAAAAACAAATCTTATATGTAAATATATCTTCAAGTCCTCTAAATGCATTTTAAAATTGTGTAAATGTAGTTAAGACTAAAACAAAATTCATTTGTTCTATATTAGCCTATATTACAGCATACAGCTGGATAAATCAGTAGAGTGCTGTGAAACTGCAAGTACATACATGCCTGTTGTTTTACCTAAGACAGCTGACCAAAATATATGTCAGAGGGGCGTGTGACAGCTGATTTCCTTATGTCTGGTGTCCACCATCAGTCATAGAGACCAGAGAAGAGAACCAGTTTCTTTCCTCCTATAAATTATAAATTAGATCTGCTTTTGTTGTGAAACTTGCTGCAAGTCTGTGGCTGAAACTTTATGATGTATCCCAGGCTTTAAGTCCCTACAGCGAGGTCTGTAGACGGTGTCTGTCCTGAACCCCACACACACCACAGCAAGTCAAGTGCAGCGCCAATCACAGGATGCGAGCGCGGCCACCGCAAGTTATGTAATAAAAGAGAAACAAGGACATCGGGAAACGTGACCAAATGGTAATATTTATCTGTCTGATGCGCAAAAACGTAAACCTACGCCCTTTCTCCTTCAGATTGTGCCACTGAGGGGTTTGTTGTCACGTATTTTGGAAGATAACATAATGGAAAATTCGGGAGTCTGATTAGTCTTGGAAATAGTAGCTTTAGTATATATTTTAACCATTTCCAGGCCACAGAAGGGGAAGATGCTTAGATGGGCCACTGCCCCAAGGCTGGCCAGCCACCTTTAGAGGATAAAAGGACAGAGGATGCTATAACTTTCGGGTTTGGGGAATCTACTTTCGCTCTTAAAAAAAGATAAAAGGTGTCGCCGCGGCAGCGAAGACCGCGGCGAGAACGCGGGCATCTCGGTGCTCCGCGCCTTAAGGATCTTCAAGGCTGCCGGAAGCTCTGTGCTTCCAGCTGCACCTGAACCACAGTTTTCGCTACTCTTACATTTGAGGTCCCGGTAGCACCACCCAAGCATCATCAATAGGAGAATCTGATAGGTATTCTCCCTCCTTGCACTGTGTCCTCGATCGGAATTCTTCCAAGTTCCATTCCCTTTGCTTTATGCAGATCCCTGGCCCTGGGCTCGCCGTCTCTTCCACTTCTGGGTCACCGTAGGTTGGGCACCTGGGCTCGCCTCGCCCCAGCCTTGCCTCCCTCCACCCGTGTGCCTGGCGACGAGCGCAGCCTCTCCGGCGCTGACCTCGGAAGGTGAATGTGTGCCTGGCTTTGAGACAGCCAGGCCCTCGGAAGCCCAGTGACACCAGAAGGGAGGTTCCTGGGGCGCCAGCACCTCCTGCAATAAGCTCGCGCGTTATAGGCGCAAACCCGAGCTCTAACCAACTTCACTCCGGCTAATCGCGAGAAAAATAAAGGACGCGTTGTAGTGGTCTCTCCTGCCTAGCCACTCGTGGTGAAATTTCCGACACTCGGGCCAGCTAAGACACGGGATTTGCACCACAGCCTCTCAGATCCCAGAGCCCGAGCCGGGCGCTACTTGCGGCTTCTCCAATTTCTCCCCTGAGTGCGAAGGAAATAGCCCCTTTTGCTCCGCGCCTGCGAAGCCAGCGGATCTGGGAGCCGGGCAGGCTGGGGAGGACTCGCGGGCCGGGGGCTCGCGGGCGGCGCCGGCAGCCGCAGCTCCTCTGCGAGGGTTAACAGCAGCCCCCGCGGCCCGGCGGGCGCGGAGGCTTCCTCTCGCCGGCCCGGGAACGTGGATACCGCGCCCGCAGGATGTTCGCCGGCTGGGCCGGGCAGTCAGGAAACATGAGAAGGCCTCACTATTCCTGTTCCCGGGCCGCGCGCGCCCGTCTGGGTAAATAAAGCCGAAACGACGGCGGTGGCGGCGGTGAGCACGCTGGAGCCCGCGCGGAGAACATGCGGCGGGGATGGGAGTGCGCCTAGCCTCGACGCGGGAGAGCCAGCCGCCCTGCCGCCGGCCGCGGGCCCCTCCGTCACAGGTACAGCCCCCGGGTCGTGGCGTCCTCGCCCGGGGCTGCGGGACGGGAGGCTCACTCCGGCTTCCGAGCTGCTCCTTCCCTCTACCCTGGGCGTCTCGTCTCTCTCCGCCCTGCACCCTCCCTCCGAGGCCCGGCGGGGACGCGCCCGATGGTGGCCGAGGCTGGTCCCAGGGTCGGCGGGGAGCCTGGGAGCCTACCTGGCCGCGCCTCTTTTGCTTTAAAATTGTTCGCAGGCGTCGGGCGGGGCAGCTCGCAGGGAGGGAGCTCCCCGAGCGACAGTTTGGAGTGACTCAGGGTAAGTGGGGAGCACAGGAGCGGAGAAGAGGCGCTGGGGACCACGCGTGGGCGCCCGGGGAGGGTTCGGGGCGGCGGTTCACACGCCCCTGACCCCTGGCGTCAAGACCCAGCTCTCGGACCTTTGCCGCCCCCTCCCACTGCGCCTGCTGCCTGCAGACCCAGACCGCGCCGGGCGTCTGTGGCTGCGATCTCTGTGTGGGCTTGGGACAGCCGGGGAAGGGTCCGCAATGGCAAAACTTGCCGTGGATTCGCTAGGAAAAACACGCCGTTGCGTCTAGGAGGACAGGGATGGGGGGAGACGGTGGAGCTGGGCAATGGTGTGTTTTACAAATAGAGCAGCGTGAACGCACAGCACTAAGCGCGCTGATTTAAAAAGAAAAAAACAAGGAGAGTCCTGCCTTTAGAACGGGGGCTGCGAGCACGGAAAGTCGCTTTTACACTTATCGCCGAGCCTGTGCACACCCGACACGTACCTGTCTGCGCGGCAGGACTCAGTCTTATGGTACACGGGGCAGCCAGCAGAAATATGACTTCACCTCCCCACGAATACTGACGGTAGCCGCCGTTTAATCGCTGTGGTCTCGGCCCTACTTGTCGCGCGTGGCCGCTGCTGTGGTGGCCGGAGGGCGGGGTGGGGGGCGTTGGCGAGTGCGGGCGCTGGGCGAGGATCTGTGTATGTGTGTGTGTGGGGGGGGTGGCGGCCCACGCCGCGGCGGGGCGGGGTGAGGGGGCGCTGGCAGCAAAGCGGAGGCGGCTCGGAGGAAACGGGAGCTACCCCGGGGCGCGAGGCGCGCAGATGGGGCGGGCTGGGGCGGCCGCGCGCCTCGGGGCGGTAACTCGGCTGCTCCGCGGCGGCGCGGACTTGCCCCTGACGCCCGCGCGCGGCGGGCAGAGGCTCCCGGCCGCCGCGACCCGGGAGGTGAGCTGGAGGCTTTCTCCGACTGTGGCAGCCACAGGCCCGGTGGTGCGCAGACCGCGATGCCTCCGTACGCCCCTAACACCTTTGCAGCCTCTGAAATGGTTCCCCGAGACCCCAGAAAGGGGCGGGTGTGAAAGGGCTCCGAGCTCGCGGCTCGCACCCGCGCTGCGGAAAAGGACAACACTGCCGTCTCCGAAGGGCCCGGGACTCCGGTGCCTTTGACCTGCCGGGACCCTGCGGGACCCGGAGCGGGCTGGGGGATGGTAGGAGGACTTGTGGGGGAGGGGGAGAATGTGGTGCATTTGTCCCCGAAGCCGCTTAACTTTCAAGCTCTGGAGTTTGCTAACTTTCCCTGCCCTCACCCCTACCCCGAGGGAGTTTAGCCAGAATAAGAACGCAGGGGTTTCAGCCAAACCATCCGGGATCCAGAAAACATGAAAATCCCCGAAATCTCGGTACGGCCTGGGACTCATTAACTGGGGCTTGCGGATGCGGTTGTTCATTACCCCAAATTTTCCCTTCCTTTCAACCCCTGCTTACGACCCAAGTGGGAGCTCCGAGAGGCTTTAGTCCTCCGTTGTGACTGAAGCACCGCGCGCGGCCCCGCGCCTATCCCGCTGCGCCATCCGGAGTGTGCTTCTCCCAGATTAAAACCGAGACAGAAAGGCTTGTTTAGGAATTACTTTCCTTTGCCTCTGCGGATAAATTAGTCCTGATTGACGTTCCTTGGGCCGCCGGGGCAAGGAGGAGGGCTGAATCTGTCCCGGGAGTGTGCGAGGGGTGGGGGGAGTGGTGTAGCCAGGTGGGGAGAGGCAGGGGTCCCCTCATCCAGGTGCGGCGGCGCCGCTCCTCCCCTGGGCTCCGCAGCCCCGCGCCTGGGCCAAGTTCGGGGCTCGGGACGCGCAGGGCTGTGAGCGCTCTCAGCGAGTAACGTGATGCGTCTTCATCTCCTAGAACCCGAGCCCTGCGGAGCTCCCGGCGGCCCGGCCCCGAGGCGCTGCGGCTGCCGCACGCGCCCCTGCCAGCCCGCACCATGAACACGATCGTCTTCAACAAGCTCAGCGGCGCCGTGCTTTTTGAGGACCGAAGCGCTCCGGAGCGGGAACGGGGCAGCCGGCCCTACGGCGGCGTCCTGGACAGTCCCCACGCCCGCCCCGAGGTGGGCATTCCGGACGGTCCTCCCCTCAAGGACAACCTCGGCCTGCGACACCGGAGGACCGGGTATGCGCACCCTCCCGGGGCCCCCGCCCCCCTGCAGCCCGTAGGGGTGGGAGCGGTGAGCGGCGCGGGCGTGCAAGTGGCAAGCTGGGCCCGCGGGTTAGGGGCCCGGAGCTTCCCGGGAGGTCAGGTCTCTGCTTCCTGGTCTCACTCGTTTTCATTCTAAGTACTAGTTTCTCAAAATAGGGAGGGATCGATTCGTCAGGTCAGTTCAAAAGAGGCGTGTTGGAAACTGAGGACACCTGGAACTGCCCCTCAGTCCTCCGATACCTGGGCCTCAGCGTAGGGGGTTACTTGTCCCTTTCCGGACCGCGGGTGCAGACACGCGGCTGAGGGCGAGGCACAAAGGGCAGAGCGGAATGCACAGGAACAGGGCAGGGCCAAGCAGTCGGGGCTTCCCAGGTCGGGCCAGCCCCCTGGGCTTCCCCTCTTCTCTCCGACATGGCCTCGCCACGGCCTCGCGGCTTGCCTTGTCTCGGCCAAGGTGTTGGGAAGGTCGGCTCTCCGCAGGGCGTCCTGGACGCGCACGCGGCTCGGCGGGGCCCGCTGCGAGCCCGGAGGGGGAGGCCGCGGGCCTGCCGGGCCGGGTTTCGGTTTAGCGGAGTGAGGGGCTGCTGGGGGGACGAGAGCTCGCGGGTGGGCCAGCTGCTCCGGCTGCTGATGCCTGGAGGGTCTAGCCGGGCCACGTCCCGGCGGCTCCCGGAGCGCCCCGTGGGGGAGGGGCGGCGGTCCTGGCCGTCTCCACCTGAAAGATTGCATCAGCTGCTTGTTCTGCGGCGTTGCTGGTTAGTAAAATAAAGATTAGGTTTCGTCAAAATGTTACTACCAGTTCTTTCGGATGGAATTGCATTTCAGACTGTTTAAAGAGGCAAAAGCCCTGGAGGCTGCGGCGCAGGCGCGCGAGCCTCCCGGAGTGGGGGAGCGCCCAGGCGGCCGCGCGGCGACACCTCCCGGAGCGGCCCGGGAGCGCAGCGCCAAACGTCCGGCTCCAGGCTGCTTCTGTCTCTTCCTCCTTTGAATATGCTTTTCCTGAGGTCTTTTTACTTTACACGATGGGGCAGAGCTTTCCATATTTTTAACTCTCCCTTATGTCAGGAAAAGGCTTCTAGAGTGCTTTTTAGGTTCGGCATCCTTCCTTCACAAACCCTTTTTTGGAAGGTTTCTCCTTTTCCCAGAGGATCAAAGGAAACAGGAGAGAGCTCCAAGAACCAGGGCAGCGGGGCCGCCGTCATCTCTTGCTTTATTCCTGCCGTTCAGTGGGCGATCTTTCCTTTGACCACAGGCGACGAGAAGCCCCGAGCGGCAGGCAGGAGTTCCCTGAAAGAACGTTCGAGAGCCGGCAGCAGCCTCTACGCGGCCCGCGAGGCTAGGGCCACTTAAGGGCACGGTGCAGGCGAGCGAGGGAAGGGTGACAGTCCTGCTGTGCAGATCTGTAGCTTGAATAACCTTTTCCTTCAGATCACTTAACCGTCGTTACCTAAACCTCTAACCTCTGGCAGCTGGCTTCAAGATATCCCCCTTTTCGAGATAAACTTAGCGTCTTTCATGCCACACGACCCCCTGCGACAACCAGGCTGTTTCAAAAAGAGATGCCGAGGAAGGGGTATTCCCACCCAGAAATTGTGTGGCTCTCATCCCCGGCTCGTCTCAACCTCGGGGCGCGCGGGGCGGGCGCGCACGGCGAGGCTGGATGCCCTGGGGTGCGGGTCGGGGGTCCGCGCGGGGCTGCGGCCGCTGAAATGCGCCCAGACCTGGGAGATCTCGGCGGGCAGTGCCCAGACGGCGCTGCTCACCAGGGCCTCCTCCTCTCCCGGTGTCCCAGGGCCCGGCAGAATGGCGGGAAGGTGAGGCACAAGCGGCAGGCCCTGCAAGACATGGCGCGGCCCCTTAAGCAGTGGCTTTACAAGCACCGTGACAACCCGTACCCCACCAAGACGGAGAAGATACTCTTGGCGCTCGGCTCGCAGATGACGCTAGTGCAGGTAATCGGGGCCCTCCAAGCCCCTGAGCGGCTGAGAGCGGACACACCTCGCGTTTGTGCGCATCTCCACCTGGCGCCTCTCGCTGGGGAAGGATGGAGCGAGACAGGCCGGTCCGGACGCTATGGCTCCTGCCGCTGAGGATGATAAGGCGTTGGCACAGGGGCAGAGTTCTGCTGTGGGAAGAATTTCTGGGTTTCCTCTCAATCTTATCCAAATCAATTCAGCGCTGATGCTCGGTCCAGGAGAGATTGCGTGGTATTTTGTTAGGGAGGGCAGTGAAGAAGCCACTGCAGAGTTATGAGAAGGTGTCCATGGGCCATATATGGATGGATACAGATGACACTACCCGCAGTGATTTTCAAAGCTGAGCGTGTATCAGAATCGCCTGGAGGACTTGTTGGAACACCAATTGCTGAGCCCCACCCCAGAGTTTCTGCTTCAGTAGTAGTTCTGGGGTGGGGCCGGTAATTTGCATTTCTAACAAGTTTTCCCGCTGATGCTGAAGCTCGTGGCCCTGAGTGGCACTTTGAGAACCCTACAGAATGGCACCCCACATTAGGGCCCCGTGTTAAAGGCCCCAGGATGACTTTCAAAATTACTTTTACTGACAGAGCTAGGAGATGGGTTGGAAGGGCAAAAAGTGGGTTTTGATTTTTTTTTTTTTTCTTCTTAATAAGAGGCATCCTGGGCATTAGCTAGAATCCACAAAACTTTGCTGTTAGTGTCTTTCTACAGGGGTTAAGAAGAGACAGATTTCAGATGGTTGGATTACTTTGTCAAGTGTAGAGAAATGGTGCATGTTTGTTTCTTCTCCAGTGAGCAACACAACTTTACGTCTGATTAGCTTTTTCCCTACAGAATCTTATTTGATATTCACAAAAACATGGTGTGGAAGAGCAATTATCAGCATTTTACAGATGATGTAACCAAGGCACGTGGGAGTTAAGTGTTAGGAAGGGCAGGCCTGGAAATAATATATTTCCAAATCGATGCTCTGTCCGTCACAACACAGTTTTCTTTAATAAATATGGTGACACGAACTTTTCTACATGCAAACAGAGCTAATTTATTCAGAAAGAGGAGCAGGAGCTAAATGAGCTGAGAAGTTTTGTATATTATAGTAGCACTACATCACTGCATTTATGAAATTTTGGTCATTCCATTAAATTCATAGTAAGGGAGAACCCAAAATAAAAAACAATATTTAATGATAGACAAAATAAAAATTGCTTTCCAGAGTATTTAAGATTGTCGTTTAGGAATTACTGGAAAGTTCAACAAAGCATGAAAGTTAACTTGTATTTAGTCTTATTAAAACTATAATATGCATTTGTCTGCCTATTTTCAGAATACAATTATAGAGAAGAACATCTGTTTTGCTTCATGTTAACAGGCATTAGTATTAATAGTGATTTGCTGCAGCACTGGACGGGAAAATTAATTTGGTGTTCTTGGCGTAATATCTCTTTAACATAAAACTATGAACCTTCAGTGATTTACAAAAGTAGTTTCTAAATAAATTATTCCAGTCAGAAAAAGTTGACTTATGAAAATAAATGAGCATGTTCAAATTTCAGTTTGCAGAGGTAAGCTATTTTTTTTGAAAATGCGCTAATTTATAGAGCTATTTGAATATTTCACTATGGTGTCGGCAATAGAACATTAGATTATTTCAGTTGATTATATAGTTTCATATTTAATGCTTGCCATTGTTTCATAAAGAAAGCAAAAAATATTTATGACATATTTAGAACATTTTTAATTATGAAAAGTAACATTTGTCATTAGTAGAGACGTTCAGATTTTCATGTGCAGTAGTTTTGTTGAGCTGCAATACAAGTAGATGTAATTTTAATACAGAATCATATTATTTTCTACCTAATGATAGTTCAAACAAAAAGAACAGTTCTTTTTGCATTAAGATGATTTTGCATTAAGATCTTGGTAAGGCTATTACATTTTTCTAATTTACACAAACTTTTCATTCATGTAATGAAAATTTTTCTCATTACATTTTCTTCCTCTTACACTAGTCCTCAGAAAATAAAAATGCAAAAAATATGTAATTTTTAAATGGGGCAAAGATAATTGTTTATAATAACAAGTGATACCTGCTTAATGATTTCCAATTTTATAGTAAATGATGTTGGTTTCTGGAACTTTAAAGTGATAAATGGAAAAAAATCAAAATGTATAGACTAACTAAGGTACCTTATATATAATCCAATTTGGGTCCAGTTATTTTCAGTTAGGCATAGTAGGATGTCTATGTAAGAAAAAATATATATATATGAATAATACACACATATTTATATATATGGGGGGTTGTGTAAGTCAGACATACATTAAACATCCAAAGCAACTTCCAACTCTAAGGGAAACCAAATAAATGATGTAAATACTTTACATTTCTGGGGGAAAAATATAAAGCTGTGGTCTGAATAAAGCTTTAGCTCTCTGCCAGTTAGACCTCTTTTTAATGAGTGAGGTACTCCCAGTGACTAAATTTCTCCTGTGTCAGGCTGTTTGAGAAGAGTGGTCATGTCTTATTCATCCTCATGCCCCTATTTCACCCCAGCACAGTCCTTTCCATGTAGTGAACTCTCTGCACGTCTGTAGAGTGAATAGGTTCTAATTGGGGAATTCCATTGTCATCATCATGTGGCTTTCCAAAACCTTTCTGACAACCAGAACATGTCTTGAAATCTGCCTAAGATATTCTAGTTTCAAAATCCATCCCATTCTAATTTTAAAATACACAGAGGGAAGCTTGGTATCTTTAACACTGTATGATGGTTCTACAGAAGAAGCACAAGTATAACTCATGTTATTATTTTCAGAATATCTGGAAATATGCCATATTTTTATGTCTATAGACAAATATGGAGTGTTCCTCTTATTTGTAGCTTCCATTTCTTCTTTATTGTAATATCTCTCTGTTTCTCATGATTTATATTAATAAGCTGTCAGCATAACGGTTTTATTCCTTAACAATGAGTGTCTTATATTTTGAGAATTTCTTGTACACTTAACATTTTTCTTTAAGTATGTGTCAAACTTTTCATAAGAGTACTTTTGCCTAATTTTGCTACTTTTAAATTGATACAGAAGGGTGTGCAACCTAGTCTGCAATCTCCTAAAGCCTAAAAACAAAAAGCTGAAACTTGAATGGAGGGAATATATTTTAGGACCTCCAAAGGTACTTTCTGGTAAATAGAAGCTCTAAGGACATTAATTAGCATCTACATTTCATTCATCCCTGAAAAAGGAAGCAGAAAGAATTATTTATGCAACTTTCACTTTTTTCTACAACTAGACTTGGCCACTTGTCTTAATTTGCTATAGCTATGTTTGACTCTCCTTTGCATTATTAATCTGGCCTCTTACTTCCTAATGAGATATAAGCATTTTTATAAAACTAACAGGCAGATGATTTGTGTGTGTGTGTGTGTGTGTGTGTGTTTTGACTTTAAACAACCAAAGTATTCCATTGTGCTTGGTTCCTGTGGTTGACCATTGTTCAAACGTTTTATAATATACTCTGTACTCTCAAAATATAAACAGCGATTGTGGAATAATATAAAGTGGTGTGTGATTGAGGTTTTGTATTATTGTAGGATATGGAGCTTACCAAGGGACAACTGCCTTTGAAGAATTTTTAAGAAAAGGGCATATGGGGGCTGTATTTAGTTTTAATATTTCCCATTGTTCATGTATATATATTTTAATATATTTTTATATTTTTTTCTGGATTATAAGAGTGAAATGTCTCCTTGGGATGATTTCCTTCATGATCACAATACAGAGTGCAGGGCGAGTGGATTTTGAGATTACATTTTAATGATGGGATGTTAATACGCCCTCCTCTTTTAGTAGAAGTTTCAAATTCCTGTGATCTGTCCATGTACCATTTGGTGAAAACTGCTGTGTTGTGAGATTTTGCCCCCATGTTGACGTAGCTCTGATATTGAGTGATTCTGCTGAAATATGTGTGTAGTTATCACCTGCAAGGATTACGGCAACTGTTAAATATGCAACAGAATCTCAGATTGGTCCTTCTGCATTATTCCAAGTGCATGGTGTGGAAATGAGGTGCTCAATATTTCAGTTGAATAACACAGAATAAGTTTGTTACTTCTGCGTGTTCAAAGATGGACAGATGCCAGCACATCCCTTTGGGTTTATTATAATAACCCTGTCAGTATGTTGAATTGAACCCTGTCAATGCTCTGTCAATATGATGAATGTAAACACCTCCATTAGAGTAGGAATGAAAATTACGGAATTTTCTCTTCGAACTTCTAGATATTTGATGCTCTAAGCTGCATAAAATGCAGTGTTTTTAAAGCTCTGAGTTTAACATTAAAATGCTACTACAGAACCTACCCTTGGTAAGGAGGCCTAGTTCATGTAAAATAGAATTTCAAGAGAATTTGAATGATAACCTGAAGGAATCTCTGGTAAGTTAAAGGTAGACAATTTGAACTGGTATTTTTACTTTCAGTGAGACAGATGGAGTTTGCATTAATTCATCAGTAAAAAAATTGCAAAATACTATGTATGCAGATTTGTTAACCAGCTATTTGTCTGCTGTTTGCACAACTTAATGCAAGCAGATATTAAACACCTGAACTATATCCAGCCCTTAGGTTGCACTATAAATTTCTGGTAATAAAATACTGGCAGAGTAAATATATTAGCAGATTGACTGCCAGTCAAACCTATGAAATCAGTTTAGTAACAGCCTATGTTAGACATCAGCAAACCTTCCTGGGAAATCTCCTAGTCTGTAATTAATATACTATGGTAGGAGCTATGAGTATATAAAACATAAAAAGAATATGACCCCTATATATGAAAAGTTAGTTAATCCCACCATGACATTTAAAGCTTTCCATTTTTGTATTTTAGAATTATAGTTGTTAATGCTCTTGAAATTAGAAGTCCATTGCATTTTAATAAAAATACGAAGAGTTTTGTAAGAATTGGATTTTACACTGTACTGTATGGTGGTTGTGTTAAGATTTAAGGTTAGCCTGAATTATATGATGTTTAGTAAAGAAAGTGACAAAAAGTTTTGGAGTTGAATTCTAATAAATATAAGTGACATAGGCATAGGGGAAGTTGAGGCTATCCTCTGTGTGTGAGAGGAGCAGAGAAGGATATAAACACAGGTACCTGATTGCTAGAGAGAGTAGTGGTTGAGAGTAGAAGGTAGGTTAGTACCAACTATAAAGAGAATTAACACTGTTTAGGAGAGTGTGGGCTGTATTCACAGATCTTAGTTTTTAGAGTTGGCAAGGATGTTAGGAGCCATCTAATGCATTTTATATATGAGGGGTTTGAAGTTTGGAAAAGTTGAGTGATTTATATAAATTCACACAGCATGTTTTTGGCAAATTCAGAACAGGAAGCCAGGTCTCTTTCTATATACCACAGTAACAGGATAACGGGACACTAATGAGGCTTTGAAGAAGTTAAATGATTAAATCATAATGGTGCATCAAGACTTGAATTTGATGATGGTGGTTAAGATCCATTCAAGTGGATCTTAGGATCAGAAGGGAAGTTAGAAAAAAGGGTGTTCTAAAATTCCTAGTTAGTAATAATGAGGAGTTGGACCAACATTTTGGCCATGACTTGGAGAATAGAGGGAGGTTTGAGAAATATAGTGAAGAAATGAACCAGGCATTTTGTGCTTCCATAGTGAATGTTCACCTGTGTATCATAGTTAATCAGGTATAGTTCTTCACTGTTAGTCCTTCCGTGTGTGCAGGGGTCGAAGTTTATCCATTCCTAGCACTTAACACCATAGCTAAAGCACAAGAGCTACTCAACATATTTTTATTGAATGAATAGTCCAAGAAGTTGTCTGTCTGTAGAGGTTGGAGAAGACTGAGAATTTGAAGTCACACTAAAGCATAGTGATAATCACACAGCTTGACAGGAAGAGGTTGATGAAGTGATCAACACAGGTTGATGAAGACTAAGATTTCTAAAGTACTGTGATGAGATATTACTTCATTGCACATACATTTAATAGGACAATTATCATTCCTTAAGACACAAAGGAGGTAATATTGAAAAAATATGTATGTATACATATAAACTAGAAAAAACTACCATGTTTTACCCATGAGGACAAAGAGAAAAAAATTATAGTTTTGTTTTTTTCAAAAAGTAGAATTCACCACAGGTCCATTCAATAATTAGGGCTTAAGAAATGTGCAAAAATTGTGTATTTTTGGTATAAATCTAAAAAAAAGAAAAACAAAAACTACCAGTGCAAGCATTGGCACACAAACCATTATAGTAATGTGGGGTCCTGTTCTGGAACAAATTGGAGGAAAGAGTGAGTTCTCTTTCCACATTTCATTCTTTTAAAGGCAAATATTAGCCTTTCAGGCTTTATATATATATGTATAAATATATATCATGTAAATATATACATTCTGATGGTAGCCTGACATGTTAAAAGAAACCTCAAGTACCATTTTAGCTTCTAGAAATCCAATAGCACCTTGAAAAAACAATGGAAGTAACTTTCCTTTGTTCTGGAGTGTTCATTTCTTTACCGTCACCTATTTGCTTTGGAAACACTTGGCTTTCAGCTTAAAGCTGGATGTTATTTGGTTTTTTTCCTTCTCTCTTCCCGTCTGATTGCTCCATCTCTGATGGTTTTGCTAGTTCCTCTTTTATAGTCCAACCTCCTTCGTCGCTGGAGTTGTCCAAGGTTTGATCCTTGAGCATCTTTCCATTCTGCCTTCTGTCACAACTTCAGCTGTCACCTCTGGGCATTGACCCCAATCTGATCTTCCCCTCTCTTAGGGCTCAGATACCAGTTTTCTTTTCTTGCTGCACATCTCACCTGTATGCTTTTTTTGTACCCTCAAACATTCCCCAAAGCAAACACATCATTTCACCGTTAAAGAGTTCTACTTTCTTTCTCAAAATGGCACTGTCCTTCTCTTGGCTACATGAGTTTGGTGACTCAAGGTCATCTTTAACTCTTCCCTCTTCCTCACCCACTACATGTCTCTAGAATTTGTTCCCTCGTCCTCTTTATTAGGAGCACACTTCCCTACCCATATTCCTTCAAAGCCTAGCTTAAATTCCTCATGAAGTCTTCAGTCACATATGAAAGTAACCTTTCCTTCCTTTGGACTCCTGTATCATTTTATTTTATGCCTCTTAAGCCATTTGTCACATTCTTTCCTATATTAGAGTTGTTTGTATACTCCCCTGCCTCCTTCTAGACTGAAAATTTGATGGCAAAGCCTCTTTTCCCAGAATACAAGTGCTCAGTCTCTGTAGGAAGTGCTCAGGGTGTTTGTTGAATGAATGAATGAACAAATGGAATGAATGTCCAGTTCTATTACATCCTGAGAATATTTAATGATCAGAGATACTGAGAGAGGCTTAAGTCCTTTATGGGAAAGTAATTTTATGATGGTTAATGTTTTATGTTTTGTTAATTGAAAAATAATACTTTCTTAGGTGTCAAATTGGTTTGCTAATGCAAGACGTCGGCTTAAGAACACTGTTCGACAGCCAGATTTAAGCTGGGCTTTAAGAATAAAGTTGTACAACAAGTATGTTCAAGGAAATGCTGAGCGACTTAGTGTCAGCAGTGATGACTCATGTTCTGAAGGTTTGTTAATATTTTTATTTTGCTTTCTTTGCTTTGCCTCTGTAATAAGAAGTTCACCTCAATTGCTGTTTTTAAGGTTGATCCCACAAAACACGATGGTGCCATAATGGTTTCTTTTTATTGCGTGAGGTAACTTCACTTTTACAATACTATAAATGACCAACAGAACTATGGCTGTTTCCTCTTGTTTATAGACTTATCATGTGTCAGAATAACATTTTCTGTGAAATACGTTAAAATTAAAATACCATAGGGAGAGGTTACATAGATTCCTGCATTCCTTTGCCTAAAAATTAATCTTGAATATCAAAGATAATTTTATACACTTTAAATATTCTTCTCTCACATATATTTTTAATGATTAAGTACAACAGTTGGGTGGTTGGGGAAAAGTGTGTGTAAGTACTACCTCGTGGTATTTTCCCCCTTAGATGGAGAAAATCCTCCAAGAAACCACATGAATGAAGGGGGCTATAATAATCCAGTTCACCATCCTGTGATTAAAAGTGAGAGCTCAGTCATAAAAGCTGGAGTGAGGCCAGAGTCACAGGCCAACGAGGACTACGTGTCACCCCCAAAATACAAGAGCAGCTTGTTGAACCGTTACCTTAACGACTCTTTGAGACATGTCATGGCCACAAACGCTGCCATGATGGGAAAAACAAGGCAAAGAAACCATTCGGGATCTTTTAGTTCCAATGAATTTGAGGAAGAATTGGTGTCTCCCTCGTCATCAGAACCTGAAGGCAACTTTGTCTATCGCACAGGTAAGTCTGTGCTTTGGTGATACCTCCTTTAAAACAGAATTAAAACTGCAACAGAGGGGTTTGTTTTGACAGGTATAAAGGTGTAATTTTTATTGCTTTTGCATCAGATTACTCACATATTGCCCATAATTCAGTTTTAAAGCTTTTATTTTGTTTTTAATTACCAGATATGCTCGTTAGTACGTGATGGGAAATTTTCATTCCTCATAATAATTTTTAATCTTAATGATAAACATCCTTAGAGGAGATATATCTTGGCCTTTATGAATAAATTTTAACGGAATAATGTCCTGGATTATGGCCAGCGAGCCATGCAAATTCTTTGTATTCCATCTTTTCTCTTAAATTGGTTGATTGCTAATAGTGGCGGAAAGTGAACACAAATTAGCATGGATGCCAAGACTTTTGTGAAGGAAAAGTATAGGTCTGGCTTACACTGCTTTGGAAATTTGACTTTCATTCCTGGAAAGCACAAGTAGGGCTGATAAATAGCTTTGAAAGTTTTACTTTTATGCCAGAAATAATGAATCAATTTCTACCTGTCCAAAACTTTAAGATGGAGTAGTGAATTTGGTAAAATATTCTATCTTGACTTCAGTTCCCAGAGAGCTTTGCTTATAAAGAGTGTTTGAGCAAGTTGCTTCAGAATGAGAGATATGCATGACCTACATCTGGTATAGATAGAGTCCAGGTCCTGAAAATGCCGTCAAGTAAAATTAGAAATGTTAGAGCTGGAAATAACTTCAGAAAGCTTCTAGTCCAGCCACCTTATGTCACAGATAAGAAAACTTGGACAGAGAACACACAGCTAGTTACTCTTCTCCATGCAGCTGAGCCTGCATAAGAGGTAGGAGGAAAGTAACTACTACTAGACTGTTATTACTGTTATTATTGCACAGGCTGCCACCAGTCGTTTATTGAGTAGCTATGATATACTAGGCCCTATGCTAAAAACCACAGATGTTACCACACTCACTCCTTATAATATCAAGGAGCTTGATAAGTGAATAATGGGGCTTTATAAAGTAATTTACATTTGGTCTATTTAATATGCCCTTCAGATTATTTATCCAGAAATCTGATTTTCAAGTGTCTACAAATGAGTTTAAGACATATTATCTATGAGGACTTAGAGAAAATATCAATGCATTTCAAAGACTTAAATCAACCTCATCTTCTGTTTGCAGAAACTCCACTGCCAACAATGAAAACAACTCCAAACACTCAGAAATGCAGGAATAGTCTTGTAATTGGGTCTAGGAAGAAGTAAAAGATGCAATAAAAGACTATTTAGCTAATAACAAAAATTTTAAAACTACATGCTAATGTCTAATTAATGTGATCAGAGCAGAACTTGGAGGTAATTCAGAGCTTTATGAATGTTTATTTACAGACAAAGAAAAATAAATCAAGTCATTCAAGTACAGATAATTGAAAAAAGAATAAAAATAAAACAAACAAAAAAAGATAAAATGGAAAGCTGAAAAATAAATCAAGTTGACTCTTTAAAAGCAATAGGAAAATAAACAAGCAAAAATTGACACAAATTAAAGTTGGAAAGGAGGAAGGAGATATAGCAATCAATATATAGTTATTAAACAAAAGTTATCTTAAAAAATTATGAAGTAGTATGCATAATTGACAATATACTATATGCAGATGTGTAGGTAAAATGAATTGATATTATCCACACAAATTAAACTATAAATTCATAATGAGAAAAGTCTTAAATGACCACTAATTCAGGAAAAATTAAAGTTTTTAGTAAGCCCAGTTCCCAAAACACGTGAATTGATAGATTCATTGGATTTTTTTCAAACTTTGAAAAAATAATAAATTCTCATGCTTTTCTGGAACATATTAAAATATGAGAAGGATCTCAATTTTTAAAAATGTAAATATTATCCTGATCCCAAACCAGATTAAGTTAGGGTAAAAATAAAATTTTTTATTTATGATGCTGATCCTATGAAACAACATGGGAAATATTGATAATGTTAAGTGAAAAACAATTTAAAATTGTGAAAACACTGAATACAGTTATGACAATACAAATGTGTATAGACAAAAACAAGGAAGATTTTTTGGAAACAATGAAAATTACTTTTGATAAGGTGGAATAATTGAAAGTCTGTTATTTTTAAAAAAATTTCTTATAAATTTCTTTATGTTGCCCAGTAAAAGCAAGGTCATATGTCTATGAGATTTACCCAGTGTGATAAGTCTTCTGAAAATGTGTGCCCTTTTCAGAGGTGACCAAATATAAAATCAGGGAGAGAAGAGCATGCCTGTATAGTTGATGCTTTTCAAAGTTAAATATCTTGGCCATTTATTTTTATTAAAGCATTCCACATGCACTTGGTCTGTATTATGGACTATTCATTTGCAGAGTCCTATTTCTAAATAAAAACTTATTTTTTAGCTATGCAAGCAATGAGAAAGCAGCCTAGACATGTAAACTTCTGGTTTTTCATGCTTGTGTATAAACTTAAAAAGAACAAAATAAATTTTTTGTTTTTGTGGATGGAGAATTAAGAAAGATTGGTGGTCTAAGACTGGTCTGCTAAATTTCAGACCAAAACAATAAATGGCTGTCTTCTGTGAGAACTGAATGACAGCGTTGGGGCAGTTGTAGCTGGGTTACCACTCATGCATAAAGAGTAGAACAGGAGATTTCAATAAATACTTTCTGAGCGAATGCTATGGTTTTCTCTGGCATACGGGCTTACTCTGAATTCCTTCAATTCTTTCCGGTTATATCTTTCTTTCCTCACCCAAACAGAACTCTTCTAAGTGTGCTTTTAAACACCACTCCTCTCTCCCACTCTAGTTCTACATTAGTACCAAGATCTTACTTTTAAATTCTTTTGCAAGAATAGATCACCTTTAAATACAATTTATTGGTTTATCTGTGCTAAGAAATTTTGTCCATTTTTCCATCCAGTTTTGTAAAAGAGTTGCTAAGGATGCATTTCATTAAATATATGGAATCAAAAAGACAAATGAAAGCATTGGTGCGTGGAACCAGAATGTATCACTGAATTTCATTTCACTTACTCTTGCTAGATTCTAGGCGGGACAAGCCTGGTTGATTATAAAGTAGTAACTCTAATTGAAGATTTCACTAGACACCTTCAAAGTAGATACAAACATGTTTTTATTGATTTTATGTAGACATTAAATATTTCTCTGTCATCTACAGTCTTCTGCATCATGCCAGGCTCTCAATAAATATTGGTTAAAATGTTTCTGACAGCAGCAATTATAACATTAGAATTGATCAGAATTATTAAGGTCATTGCTTCTAAATACAGTTAAGTAATACTCAAGAAAATTTAGTCACTCAGTGTCATCTGCTGAATTAAGTCATCTCAATTAAAGTTGTAATCCATTTTCCTCATGTTAGGTTAACGAATGACACTTTTCAGGTATTTGATGGAGTGAATTCCCATTACAAACTGATCGCCGTGCCTCCAGCCCCTAAGGTGGGTCTGCTCTCTGAGGTATCAGGATAAGGACGCTAGCCATAATATCCACCTCCATTCCTGTTGAATCCATGCTCATGTTCTCCAGATGGGACCATCTGTGAAGGAGCCATCAGCCCTCTGTGCCACCTTACAGAGTCTTCACTGGAGCCTTTCCTAACTTGGGTTAGAGTTTAATTTACCCTCAAAACCAAGCCTATTGAATGCCCTTCTTTGCTGAGAGAGATAGGAGAGGTTTCCCAGAAGTGTACTGATGGGAGAAAATCAGGCAAGTCTTGAAATAAATTGTGAGGACTTTCCCTCTTCTTTTGCTTGGCTTGAGGACAAGTCCCTCTTATGTTCTTTCTTTTTGCAGCTCACAAATGATCAACTTATAATTGGCTAGTACATTCGAATGGTTACCCTCTGAGTCCCACTGCTCTGCTGGTATATAATTCATAAATTTAACCTGCTCCCACGAGGCTGAATGTATAAGCTTCATCTCGTTAAACTGTCTAAAATCCCTCTTAATTATACACATCTGGTGTTGCAAAAACATATAGGCGGATAGGACTCTTTTTTATGTTAGTGTGAATTATTCAGATTAGCTTCCTCTCCACTTGACTGAGGTGAATCCCTGAAGAAATGGAGATTTTTATTGAGAGAAAAAAGAAGTCATTTATTTGGTGCAAGGGACTCTTTGGGAGGTAGAGTCCATTTGGATGGCCTGCTGCAGTTGGAGAAAAATAAGAAAATGAGGAATTTTGGTTACTGAGGAAAAGGGAACTAGGAAGTAGAAAGTTTGAGAGGATGACAAAGGCTAAATACCATTTCCAAATATTTTTTCTTGGCTAATGATGACCCAAAAGGGAGAGATGTTCTTTGTTCTCTCTTTTCCTGCACACTCCTGTACTTTAGAATTTAAACTGGTATTATCAGTAGTATAACCCAGGTATGCTCATGAGTTCAATAAACCATTGGATTAGCCTTGGATTTAACCTTAATTTATAGCATAGTTTGTTTGGAGAAATGTACTCTCAGTTCTAACAACTGAGTTGTTGGGACACAATCCGTTCACATATGAGGTGCTCTTTCATGCATTCATTCCACATACAAAAATGTTTATTAAGAGCCACTCCACACAGACCCTATTCCAGGCTCCCTGGAGTCCTGTGTTTTGTGCTAGGCTTCTCATCAAAGAAACCATAGTTAAATGAAGCAGAAGAAAGATTTAAAGAGATGCCTTGGCAGATCTTTTTGAACAGTGAATAATCACTCCTAATTTATATGTTTCATCAGTTTTGGATTTTGTATTTGGAGGTAGCTTAAAGATAGCCTCATGGCAGTCAAGAGAAGGCTTCATCAAGAGCCAGCTGTTAAGGGTGGTGTGTGTTTCTCTATATATGCTAGGTTTCTCTTTAGGATTTTGTTGACCAGTAAATCTACTTTGGCTACTTTTTTCTTCTTTTATTTTCCGTTTTGTGCTTGTCACTTCCTTGTTTTTAGTGAAAGAATTAAGCTTTGCCATTTTGGATT